AACTTGGTTAGCATTAAAGAGAGCATATGCGGATGCAGGTTTGGTGCGTCGATTAACATTACTTAGAAAATTGTTCAGCGTGAAACTAGAGAGCTACCCTAGTATGGAAGCGTACGTTACAGATATCCAAGCGACACATCAAGCACTCGTAACGATTAAAGCTGGTTTGGATGATGAATTTCTAAGTATAATAATGTTAGCTGGTTTGACAGATTCGTATAATCCGCTAGTGATGGCTTTGGAACATTCAGGAACAAAAATTTCGTCTGAGACCGTAATCGCCGCAATACTTAAAGAAGGGCAGCGACAAAGTCAACCAACGTATAGTGGGATGAATGAAAACAAGGACGAATCGGTACTAGTGTCGAGTTCTAATGACAAAAAGAAAATACAAAAACCTATAATTTGTTATTGTTGTAAAAAGAAAGGGCATTATAAGTCTCAATGTAAAAAATTGAAAAATAATATTGATGTTCAGCCGAAATCTTGTCTTGCGAATGACAACTCTGAGGAGTTTGTAACCTTTTTAACTAGTAATTATGAAAGTAATGATAGATGGGTTATAGATTCTGGTGCTACGTCCCACATGACATCAAATGAACACATTTTGAAACCAGAAAAATCTTGTGCAAAATTTATTACCTGTGCAAATAAAGACAAAATTGTTTCAAACAAACAAGGAACTGTTGATTTGAAGATTAATCACGAGGGACGTACCACAGATGTGAAAATGAGTAATGTATTGCTTATCCCTGAGTTATTAACTAATTTGATTTCAGTAAGCAAGATTGCTGAAAGTGGTAAGGTTATTATTTTTGATAAAAAGTGTTGTAAAGTTTTTAATGATACTGTTAATGTTATAGGTAAACCTCTTTTTACAGCACCACGCAAAAACGGGTTATATGTATTAGGTCCGGATAATAACAAGTTTGCGACAGTTCTTTTAGGTGATAGCAGTCGTAGTCAGGATGACTATGAGTTGTGGCACAGGAGGTTAGGTCATTTATCTTATCCTCAGATGAACAAACTAAAAGGTATGATTAAGGATATTAATTTTGGGAAGGTTGATAACAAAGTTCATTGTGTGGCCTGCAGCCAGGGAAAGCAGTGTGCAAAGAAATTTCCACATCGAAAGAAATGTAAGCGAGCAAACGATTTGCTTGAACTAGTACATAGTGATGTTGCCGGTCCAATTGAAACAGAGTCATGGGGAGGTGCAAAATATTTTCTGATCTTTGTTGACGACTACAGTAGAAAAGTTTTCTGTTATATGTTGACATCGAAGAAAGAAGTATTCAAATGTTTTCGTGATTTTAAAGCTTTTGTGGAAAATCAAACTTCAAAGAAAATTAAAAAATTTAGATCTGATAATGGTACAGAGTATACCAATAAGGAATTTCAATCTTTTTTAAAGAAATATGGAATTCAGCATCAGACATCTGTTCCACATACTCCAGCTCAAAACGGAGTAGCTGAGAGGACTATTAGGACGATCACAGAGAAAGCACGTTGTATGCTTCATGACAGTGGTCTAAATAAAAAGTTCTGGGGTGAAGCTGTCAACACAGCCGTTTATTTGAAAAATCGATCCCCAACAATGGCTTTAAAAGACAAGGTTCCTGAAGAGGTGTGGTTAGGTCAACAAGTAGATTTATCGTATCTGAAAGTTTTTGGATCTATTGCACAAGTCCTAGTGAAGGATGGCAGTAGAAAGAAGTTTGATGCCAAGACTCGCAAATTAATTTTTACGGGATACAGTGAAGCACAGAAAGCCTACAGATTTATTGATTTAAATAATCCAAAAAGGATTATCATCGGTCGAGATGCAGTCTTTAATGAAAAGTTACAAAATCCCTCGGTCAGTGATCTCAAACCTGAGGAAGTTATCAAGCAGCCTACATCTGATAAATGTACAAAAGAAGTTTCTCAAGCCGAGAAAGAAGTTGCCCAAGGAGGACTTTATTGGGATTATCGCGAAGAGGACAGAGTGTCTTCTGCTACCAACGTCTGTGATGATGAAGTCGGAGAGGTAATAAGATCAGAAACAGAAAGTCAAGGCGTAAGTAATATACGGTCCGATACTTTTGAAGCTCAAGACGAAATGAGTAGTCAACAAGATTCTGAAATAGAAGAAACTAGTGAAGTTTCGCCAAATAGAAGATATCCCTTACGAATACGTACTCCAAAGAGATATGATGATATGGAATACAATTTTCTAGTCTCAACTAATGGAGATCCTGTTTCTGTAAAGGATGCAATGAAGCGCTCAGATAAGACGCTGTGGAGGAAAGCAATGGAAGAAGAATATAATTCCCTTATAGAGAATGGCACTTGGAATTTAGTTGACCGTCCTTGTGGGACTAATGTGGTTAAATGTAAGTGGTTATTTAAACTCAAAATAGGAGCGGATGGTGTAGTTCAGCGACATAAGGCGAGATTAGTTGCCAAGGGTTATTCCCAAAAATGGGGAGAAGATTATTTCGAAACCTTTGCACCAGTAGTCAAGCTTTCGTCAATCAGGATGTTGTTTGCTTTATCTGTTGAGAAAGACCTCAAGGTACATCATATTGATGTTACTACAGCCTTCTTAAATGGTGACCTCGAGGAAGATCTTTACATGGAGCAACCAGAAACCTTTGTAAAGAAGGGAAATGAGCAAAAGGTATGTAAGCTCAAGAAAGCCATATATGGATTGAAACAAGCAGCTCGATGCTGGAATGTCAAAGTAGATGCTCACATTGTTAAGTTCGGCTTCAAGAGGTCAAATTATGATTCTTGTGTATATATTAAAAGAAGTAAGAATAATTTTACAGCTATTGCTCTGTACGTAGACGATTTTTATATTTTTGGCAGTTCACAACAAGTTGTTGATCAAGTTAAGGATCACATAAGATTAGGTTTCAAGATTAAGGATTTGGGTGAGGCTAAAGAATGTCTGGGTATGCAAATCACGAAATCAGAAAACTTGAAAGAAATTCATTTGAATCAGACTAATTTTGCTAAAAAGATATTAGAACGATTTGGTATGGAAGATTGCAAACCTGTTGCGACACCATTGGCAATGAATTTGAAGTTAGAAAAGGGTGACATAAATCATGATCCCAGCTATCAAGAAATCATTGGGTCCTTGATGTATCTTGCTTTGGGTACAAGACCAGATATTGCTTTTGTTGTAAGTTATCTCAGTCAATTCAACAACTTCTGGAACACAACTCATATGTCAGCATTAAAACGTGTTTTACGGTACGTCAAAGGCACAATGAATAATGTTTTAATATATAAGAAAACTGGAAAACCGTTATGTGCTTTTTGTGATGCAGATTGGGGTAAAAATGAAGATGGTCATTCGTTTACGGGATATATGCTTGTTTTAGGTGGCGCTGTAATAGCATGGCAGGCACGTAAACAGCGATGCGTTGCATTAAGCTCAGCAGAAGCTGAGTATATCGCTGCTTGCGAGGCTGCTAAACATATTATATCTGTGAAAGGTTTATATGAAGAATTAACTGGTGTTAAAGTGTCAGTAGAATTGTTTAGTGATAGTCAAAGTGCTGCAAAATTGATTTATTCTAATGCTGTAGGTAGAAGATCGAAACACATTAACATCAAATACCATTATGTGAGAGAACTAGCGGAATCTAAAGAGATTTTCATCACTTATTTGGAAACTAATTCCATGCCAGCTGATGCTCTCACAAAAGGTCTGCCAAGACCAAAGTTTGAGTACTGTTTAAGACGTATGGGTATTCAGGGGGCGTGTTAAAAATGAAGGTTGAATACCGATACGTCCAGTCATAGAGAAATGATTTTGGTTGCTATGTTATTGTTTTGTTTATTATCTTTGTTTTAAAATTTTCTCTGTCATTAAGGATTATATTATTTTTATTAATAAAATACTTTATACGTTTACTCCACAATCCTTTATTTGCTACATTGTATATTTCCACAAAAACAACAAAGGAATATTTCTCCTGTGTTGCCGAAATAGAAAAAAGAGGATTACAATGAAAAATGAAACGAATACAGGATTCCAGGGATGCGGAGTGCGGCGATTTCCGTACTTATTTGTAGTATTTGACTGAAACTGAAAGAGTTAATCACTCGCACTATGCATGCAGGTATAAACCGCTAACGGGCGAACCGAGGTAAAATTTGAGACAGCTCCCTTCCCTCCTTAACTTTTAAAATTAAAGATTGCTATACCTACGTAAAAATATGCTGTAGACCCTTATGAACATTTTCAACGAAAACTTGTTTCAACTGGGTATAGCCACATTCCAAGATATAGCACATTTACAAAAACCCCAAATCTTACTTTGTCATTCATACAACCACTATGAAAACAACAAAAACAAAGTATTATAAGTAAGTATTGGATAAGGTCTATCTAACTAAGCTATTAAAACTCGCACTTGCCTGTTTGTTTATACTGATTTGTATCTAAACAAGTTTAATACGCATTAAGAATACTATCTTTACCTTTTGTAGATTATAAAATATATGTCACCGGAAAATAACAAGAATCGAAATTGATAAATTTCCCAGGATATATATAAGCTCTCGTAGGATTCTAAATGAGATAAATTGTATTATTTTGCTCAAATTTTCGTAAATGTGTCTTCAATACTGTACTGTAGCGCGTTATATTTAAAAATCCAATACCGTGAAATTTAAATTCCCCCAACGGCAGAATAAGCATTTGACCCAAGAAAGAAAATCTCAACTACCACTTTTTTTTGGGCACAAATTAGGTACTCGTCGATACACGCGGGACAATCGTATTTTTAAGCTCAAAACTGGCAACTCCATGAATTAAAGGAAAACAAGCATATCTACTCCATAACAGTATTTACCCTACTACACGGGTGAAGTCGCAGGCAAAAACTAGTACAAATATAAAATATAAATTAAGATAATAAAATTATCCATTACATCTTATCAATTTATTTATTTCGTACTTAATCTAGGTACTTTGTATAATAGCTTTTTTAAATTGAGAGACATAACCAATTATGATTCATCAACCATTTTATCATCGTTAATTTCAACATCTTCATTATTTTCAAATAACAAACTTTTATATAAATTAGAACTACATTTCTTTCGTGTGTATAAATTTTTTTTCTTTGTGTGATCTAATCTTGGCATTTCATTTGACATTAACATTGGCCACAAAAAAAGCACATAAAAACGTTCCATTAGATTACATATTTGTTCCTTAAAGAGTACATTTTTTTTTTGCAATGGATTTAGATCTAGTTTTATAAGATTTTTAGTGGTGACATGGCTGATCAATGTTTTGCATCCAGTAATAGTAGAAAAATTTGGAGGCATAACATATTCAGCAGTTCCTGTGAGAACATTTCCCCACACATTAACATGTTTTTTAATTTGTATGGTATTCAGTATACTTTTTTTAGAATATGATTTCACTTTAACTAAACAAACCTCTCGTTCAGGCATAATTAATTCTGGAAAATTAGCACAGTATGGACTTTCTTGAAATGCTTCCTGACTTAATTTAGCTCTCAATAATATTAAGGTTTTTATTATGTTTGTTGTATTTAGACTTCTTGTGGAGACAACAGCCCCATTGTCAAGAATAAACTTATTTGAAATTTGTGAAAGATTTTTTTCAACATCATTTATACATTCAGTGACCATGAATGCAATTATAGATTCCTCTATTTCTGCTTCACTTGAACATCTTGTGACTCTTTTTGACTTTTTACTTTCTACTTCAGATTGCATTCGATCTTTTAGTTTTTCAATAGCTTTATCCAAATTATCAGCAGCCTGTCCATGGCCAAGGCGTCTCGCGCCACGGCGAGGTGCATGTATAATATCCACATTGGGGTTTCTCTTCATCCATTTTTTTAATGTAAGATATCGAGCTCTTATATGGATACGGTCTTTTCCAGGGAAATATTTGCTTATACTAGCAAAATTCGTTGTAGAGTCTTGATTGGCCATTAACTGAACAAGCTTCTTATCTTCGGCCAGTGTCCATACTGCTGATAATTTAGTTTTTGCCAGGACTTGATATCGATTTTTTATTTGTGTTTCAGACCTACCAACAAAGGGTGCTATTAACTTATAGTTTTTTCCGTATTTTTGTACACAATTTAATATTACTGCATCCTCTTCTGGCAGAAATCTTCCTTTCCTAAGTTCAATAAGCCTGCGATATTTATTATAGATTTGAATATTTGTTCGGTTCTCCATTGATGCTGCTACCCTACCCCAAGGTATATAATCATCTTCTCTGTAGTATTCAATTAGTCTCTTCAGATATTCCTCTTCTTCCTTGGTCCATTTTTGACTAGTGAATGTATTGCCCATATTAGTCCTAAAATATACGAAACACTGGTATTCAGTGCGTCCTGTTTTTAGTTCCTCTGCAATTTGTTTCCAATTCTGATAATTATAATGTTGTGCAATTTTTTGTAACTTACAGTGTTCATTTTTGCTCCAGGACTCCTTATTAATAGAAGGGTGTAAGAATAACTTCCACAATGAGCTGAACTCTTGCGGAGTGTGCCTTTGATTAAATGTATTAGCTAGATAGTCCCAATCATAATCCTGTTCTACTGGCAATGCTAACTCTTTTAGGCTTTTTTTAGGAATTTTGTTATTGATTTCTTCAGTTAAAGCTGCAATTTCAGAATTCTTTTTTGTATCCATTATTTTTACATCTCGCTTTAGTTCAGAGATTCTTGACTTTAACTCTTTCTTTTTGATATCCTTAGACAGTTTGTATATTATTGATATAAATTCACTTTTATCCTTAACAGTCCAACCAGGTACCTGTGTGACGTTTGAGAAATTATACATTCCTGTTTTTATCATAAGTGTTGTATCAAGATTATCTGGAGGTTGAAAACCATTTTTGTCTTTAAAATAAGGTTTAGCACATGATACGTAACGAAATGTTTGGGCTCTAGTGGGTCTTTCGCTTAATGTGTCTGAATCTTGTAACTCTAAGAGCTTTTTCCTGCATTCACTTAACTTGACAAGAAGTGTCTTCTCTAAACAAATTAGTTTGTCATCAGTAAGTTTATTGAGGGCCAAAGCTGTTTCAATTTTAGAATATTCTTGTATTTTGTCAGACGAACATGGCAGATTAAGTGTACTTGCAGAATATTTAGAGACCACACTCGAAGAAATTTCGTCTTCTTCCAAAACAGCAGTCAGCTGTTCAAGATCTTTAATTTGTGTTTCCGTATCTTCATCACTATCATTGATGTCTGTATCCATATTTAACCTGTATGTTTAAATTCTCTTTGATCTGTTTATTAGATAATCTTTCTCTGGAAAGATAAAGAAATTTGCCTACTAAATTGCAAGTAAAAATGCCTTCAAACAAAATAAACTTCACACAGACTAATAACCACAGAACACATTTCGTCAGGCGAAGAAAGTAGTGGTGGTTAAATTAGCGTATATCGTGTTAATCAACACGTTTTTCTCTCTTAATGATTTACACTGCTAAGTAGGTATACGCGAAGGCGCTAAGAATTTCACACGCTTAACACGATTCACGCGTGAAATTCCAAAACGATTCAACGAACGAACGAAACTAGATCGCGGCTGGCCGCGCAGTCAGTGTTGCCATATATACAGATTTATCTGTATTGGTACAGATTTTTGGCTCCTGATACAGATGCCAGATATCACTTTAGGTTTGTACAGATTTTTTAAATTCACATTTTCATGTGTGTGAATACAAAAAATAATATAAGTAAATGGTTCAAACTTTAATATATTTTGGTCCTAAATATTTATTTGTCCCTTAAACTGGATGCTAAAATTACTTTTGCTATGGCAACCCAATTGATAGCCGAGTTTTGTTAGGCTCAAAAGGACCTAGTTCCCAAAGCCGTAAAAAGCTTTAATTAAAAAAAAACCGAGTGTTGTTGACCGGGGATTTACCGAAACGTGTATTAGAATATTACTCGACCAATTTCGGAAGATGGATTGCGCGGAAGAATACCTATTGTATGTTCGTCTATTTAGTTTTGTTAGGTTATCATCACTCATAATTTATATCATTCATTATCCAGACATCTTGTCTAGATTTTCATATCTCGTAAATCCACTATAATGTTAGCTAAAAAGAAACGGAACTCGCAAAGTTTTAATCAAAGTTGGTTGGAGGAAAGTTGTTTCTCGCCATGGTTAAAAAGAAGTCAAAAGGGTGAAGATTAAGCATACTGTAAATATTGTTTAACCGACCTTGCTATCGGAGGAGGTGGTAAAAATGATCTTGCGCGTCACATGAAAACTATCAAACACCAAGCATCAGTTCCTGGTACAAGTGCAACACAAAAACCAGTCACCAATTTTTTTATGAAATCCAATATTACTGACGATGTTAAAAGAGGTGAAATCCTATTGGCGTCTTTTGTTGCTGAGCACAACCTCTCCATCAATGTTATGGAACACCTCCCCCAGTTGGTAAAAGCTGTATGCAAAGATTCCACAATAGCAAAGGAAATTTCTTGTAGTCGAACAAAAACCACAGCTATAATAAAATCTGTAACAGGCGCTTCAGAAAAAGAACATCTGGTAGCTGATCTAAAAACCAGCAAATTCTCCCTTTTAATAGATGAAAGTACAGATAGAGGATGTGTGAAACTTTTAGCTGTCGTCGTAAAATATTACAAGAACGGGGAAATAAGAGATGCGCTTCTTGGATTAGTACCCGTGCAAGATACTACAGGTGAAAAACTTTATGAACAACTTGTGAAGTTACTCAACGATAATGGCATTCCCTACAAAAATAATATGGTTGGTTTTGCCGCAGATGGAGCAAATGCAATGATGGGTCAGCACAATTCGGTGGCAAGTAGATTACTAATAGATATACCCAATCTCTATGTTTTGAAATGCATTTGCCATTCGTTTGCGTTATGTGCGTCGTATGCCTGCACAAAGCTCCCGCGTGAAGCTGAAGGCCTGGTGAGAGATGTTTTTAACTATATCAGTACGAGTCCAAAACGCATGGGTGTTATAAAACAATTTCAAGAGTTTCTTTCGTTAAAGCCACACAAAATGTTGCACCCGTGCCAAACTAGATGGCTCTCATTGCGTGCTGCTGTAATGCGTGTTTTAGAGCAATACGAAGCATTAAAATTATATTTTACTGAGGCAGCTTTCAGTGATCGATTGAATTCAGCGGAATCAATTTTACAAATGCTCAATAATCCATACAACAAAATATATTTGCAATTTCTGGAATTTGCATTGGATTTTTTTACCAAACTGAATAAAATAATGCAGTCAGAAAAGCCACAAATACACAAGTTACATGAAAACTTGAGCAATACTTATAAAACCTTTTTGGACTGCTACTTGGGCAGTGCATATCTGATGAGAACTGAACTCCAGAACGTACAACATGACAACCCTCGACACTATAAACCAATCGAAGAAATTTATTTGGGTGTGAATGTTGCCTCATCTTTATCTTCTTCCAATTTGAGTCCTAATGACATAAAACTTTTCAAATTACGATGTCTTGAATTCTATACAGCAAGCAATTAAAACCACTCTCCAAATTTGAGTATGTTAATCTTTACGACAAATAATGAAATACGTGTTTTTTCTTTTTATGTCGTTTAGAACAAAAATGTTGAGTTATATCGTCACCAAGTTATTTTCAAAAAACCTACATTTGTGGACGCTCTCGCTGCCCAGTACATGCGCTTTACGCGCTACGTTACACTTACCCCTCCCTCCCTTGCCGCAATTCATTGATAGTAATAATAGCAGCTACCTAAAATGTTTTCGTTTTGTCAAGCTTGGGGAAATGATAAATAAAGTTGAAACCTCTTCATACTTTTATGGGCTTAGGACCGTCAAATTGCATAAATCCTATTAGATACCTACTATTACAATAGCTTAAATCAAATTTATAAATTAAGTAGGTACATAAGTAAATATCGAGTTACCTAAAATTCTGTTTAGTTAAACCAATTCAAAGTAGGTACTTAACTCGCTATTCTTTTGCAATCAGGCGTATTTAAAAAATCATCAACTTTATGTACATAATCAACTAATCAATTTACCTACCTACTTTAACTATTTACCTACGTATACTTTAATAATTGTTCAAAGTACATACCGTTCCTCTCCAAACAGAGTCTTCCACCTTTTCTGCACATTATCTTTTAATTTTGCGAGCACTACCGTGCCATTTTTCACTTGGTAAAATGCCGCTCTGATTTGCACTTTTAAGTCCTCGAGGCTTTGTGCTTCCTCAACATACACACGTCTTTTAATTTCGCCCCACAAATAAAAGTCACACTGTGGTAGGTCCGGCGATCGCGCAGGCCCCACGATGGGGCCTCCGCGTCACGTTGATCACCATGTATGGAACACTGCACCATTTCATAATATTCGCGATTGGAATACATTACGACGCGCGAAATGTGGCGCTGCGACGGGCGGTACGCAACACGGAAGCAAAGGCGGAAGCGCATGCGTTCAAAGGGGTTGTGCGCGGGCGACTGACTGATGTGCGCCGACAAAATAAAAAACCGAGCAGACATTGTTGTTGGCGCATGCGCGTACATCCCCTGCGCCCGCGCCCTTGCTACCCCTGCTGCCTTGTGTTATTCATAACTAATGTGACAATGCGAATGTTATAATTATCTTGTAATTGCAATAAGTTTACATTTCATTTTGAAAATTTTACATACCGTTTTATTTTCATATATGTGATCTATTAACGATACCTAATGCCTAGAAAAAATTTGGAGAGTCATTTTAAATGCAGCCGGTATAGAAGGAGCCAAGCAAATAAAGACACGTTTCGATTTCGGAAGTCCGATTACAAGAAGCCTGGAATTCCTTAATCCGACTATCATTAAACGTCGCAGTATACAATCATTGGATCACATTGCACGTAGTTTTCCTAATGTTATTCAACAAGAACATTTACAAAAATTAGATAACGAGTGGCGACATTTGAAAATGAACGATACTATACTTGCTACTAAGGAAGAAGATCCGGAAGTTTTTTGGCAAGAAGTATTTCGCGCACAAGACTGTGATGGAAAATTACATTATACGACTCTCAAAGAGATAGTTTCAGCCTTATTATGCCTACCCCACTCCAGTGCAACAGTAGAAAGAATATTTTCTTCAATTAATTTGATAAAAACGAAAACTCGCAACCATTTAGGTACAGACACTATGGAAGGATTACTCTTGACCAAACAATTATTAAAAAACGAGCCATGTTTCAAGCTAAATGTTAGTAAAAATATGATTAGTAAAATGAATAAAAGTATGTATCAAAAATAAGTATGTTTTTCACTTGTCTACTAGAGTCTGGCAAGCGAAACGTGTCACAAGAAAAGGGCGGCAATTTCAAAAATTCTTAAGCAGTAAACACTGAATGTAGTACTGCAAAATAATTTTGATACTTTTATTAATTATATTTAATCTTAACATTTAGATATCAATTAAAATTATTTGTTTTGGAACATTTGACTAAAGCGTGACTGTTCTTAATTGTACAGTTAACAGCATATCAGTAGGCCTATTCACTAACTCAACTGACAACCAAGAATCGTCATCACCGTAAAAAATAGACACTTTGATTGTGTCAAAATCACTATTTCGTATTCTCTATCAATGATGAGCAATTTCGAAATGTCAATATCGGCATTCTCCACTGGACTCCATTTTGACACTTGATTTCGTATCGATAAACTGTATTAAAGTAACATTGTTGCAAAGCATATTTGAAGTCGTCGCATAGTACCTCTTAAGCCATTTGTTGTTAAATTAAAGCGAAAAAAAATACGTATCCAATATTTTTCTATTATCTGACTGACGGACTAAATCGAATCTTTTTTTAACCCATTCGTTATACCTATTGGCTAACAGCACTTATAATATTAAAAATTCATATTTGTCATTAATTAAAAGGGTGTTTTTTGCAACGACTTCTTTGTTTTTTTGTAATGAATATGGGCGACTCTGGCCACATTTTTTTAATAAATGTGATGTTAGCCAATTTTGATTTCTGGCCCTTATATTTATAATGTGTTCATAACACATACATGTCTCCTAAGGGATTTTCATCACAACCTTTTGCTCTGATCCAGAACCACTATCTATCAAATTAAATTAGTCAATATAAACACCAGATTACAATAAAAAAAACATTTATTTTTGTTACAATTAAGTGCCATGGATAAATTACATAATACAGGTGTCACAAAATCATCATGTTAATCACAATAGAAAATTTAAGATAAGATTTTGACTATGAATCAGACTAAAAATACTTTAGTCTGATTCATAGTCAAAATCTGTTTCTAAATATTCTACACCTGATAACAATGACAAGGAATCATCAGAGTCACTCTCTTCACTACTGTCTGCACCAACAGATATAATAAATTTTTCAAGTTCGTTTTCAACAATGCCATCTTTTAATTTGTAATCATTTTCGACATTTAAAACATGATCAGTGTATTTCTTCCAGTCACTAGGGGTAATTAAGTTAAAACACTCTATTATTAAGTTTTCCATTTCCTTTCCTGGTATTCCAATGTTTCTGCTTGCAATTTTTCTTTTTGCTTGACTCCAAACCATCTCTATTGGGTTTAAGTCACAATGATACGGTGGCAGCAATAAAAGTTCATGATTATGTTCTTTTAAAATCTCTTCAGCTTCATATACAGGCAATGTTTTCTTATCATTAACCAAACACATTAACTCTGCCTTTGTCTGATATTCCTCAAAATGTATTCCATTATTTACAAGCCATTTACGGATATCTGCTTTGGTATTAGACATTATAGGCGGTTTATTGATTTGTTTTATATGGTAGCTGGCATTATCCATAACAATTACACTGGGCTTACTTAAATTTGGTATTAATTTTTCTCTGACCCATTTCATAAAGTTCGATGAGTTCATATCATCATGATAATCAGCAGATTTGGATTTACTACTGAACACTAATAATGCACCAGGCACAAAACCTTCCTCAGATCCAGCATGCACAACAATATGCCGTTTTCCAGAGGATATCTTTGTAGTGACACCAGTTGTTGAAGGTCCTTGCCAAGACTTTTTAACTTTATAATTCTGATGTACATAAGTTTCATCAAGGTACACAATTTGCTTTCCTTCGTTTCGTTTTATATTTATTTCTCTCAAATACTTGTGCCTCCATGCAGAAATCTGGTATTTTTCTATAAGCATAGAACGTTCATTTTCATTGCTTTTAAAAGAAAATCCATTCTTAAGCATAATTTTTCGTAAAGTCTCACGGCTACCACTGAATCCTATTGCATCTTTTAATTCATTGTGAAGGCTTCTTAATGTTGGAACAATTTTTTTCACACAGTAAAATTCATTTACTTTATTCCGAATTGCACTTAAATCAAAATTATCTAAAGCAGACACTGTTGGTTGATGAGGTCGTTTTTTCCCAGGAGTGTCCCATTTTCCTTTATTAATTAATGCTTCATTTTTTATCCTTCTTAGTGTCCTTATACTTACATCTATAAAAGATTAAACACTTTGAAACAAAGATATGTTAAATGTATTTAAAAGCAAATAATGATAGACACATACATCAAAATAATTTTAATACCTATTCAACTATGAATGCAATTTATGTTTAATTTAGTTAAGTTTATGTGCATATTTAGCATGTATAACAATTACATGGTTTGATTAGTTTCATGAATTCTGTGAATTTCCTTGTTAAACAAAACATTCTTATGACATCATTGGATGTCAACAATAAAAACCAATACATCATAAAAAACCTATGTAAATATTATAGGAATACTATCAATCTATCTTAAATCAAAACAAGAAAAGAGACCTGTCATTGAAGAAATTTTTTGTAAGTACTGCGTTTCCGAATTCAGCATTTCTTGTTTTTCTAAAGTTTTTATTGCATTTATCTCCTCCATTATTGGTTGAATATCACCATCACAGTTATCTGAAATAGAGCAATATTTTATAAATAATATCTGTTTAGTTAATTACAGAAAATTAAAACGAAAGTATCAAAATTATAATACAAAACTAACCTAAAAAAGATACAACTTTATCTAATCGTTGTAATTTCTCCATGAAATTTTTATTTAATTCAGTTTTCACTTCAGTAAACTTGTCAATCATGATGGAAAGAAGTTTCCTCGATGAACTTTTTATCGGCTTCGACATAATTTTTAACCAAAAACACAAGTTCAAATTCGCAAAAACAACAAAATTCAATATTCTTGAATTGTCTAACGTAGTGTCAAACTGACAGTTCTATGTTGTTGCCATATGAAAACGGAAAAATAGGTGGTGTCACGTTTCGCTTGCCAAACTCTACTTTATAAAAAGTTTAATTAATACAGATTTTATACAGATTTTAGCTTTTTCGTCGTATACAGATATAATACAGATTTTCAGACTTAGCGATTCAGATTTCGAGCTTTAAGATATGGCAACACTGCGCGCAGTTAACGCGTGAACGCGATCGTTGGCAGACGTGCCATTATTGCTAATGTTTGGAGCACGCTAAGTAGGTAATTATTACGCGCGATTCTATCTCCTATGTTTTAACAAAGCTTAATTAAGTTGATATTTTAAATACTTTTTATTGTAAAAACCTATTCAATTCAATATTGTAATTTAAAAATTTGAATAAAAAATATATGATAGCAAATGCACATAGTAGATTCTTGTACATAAATCAACGAACTTTTAATTTAAATATGGCTATAATTGAATTATAGACAGTCCTAAGCCTGAAAAGTATGAAGGGGAGTTTATCATTTTTTTAATGAAGTTAGTACTGCTATAATTTATTCGAATTATTTAGACTTAACAATTATGAGTAAATGTTTAATATAGCACGTAATCTATTTAACATACAACATAAAATAATTAACGTGTTACATGGTTTAGCGTGTTACAAAATTTAACGAGTCTTCACGCACCCTTACGCTTCTTTGAATTAACGCGTTAATAAAAAATTATCATTAGTTTGTTGCGCGTTAATGATTTTTTGTCGTTTTGAATACCTCTAGAAGGAACTAAAGGAGATACTAAACTTCAATATTTAATTCTTTTTTTTTTTAATTAATGGCGTTGGCCTTGTGGATTGGCCAATTCAGTGTTTTGCTCAGTTTATTTCATAATAAACAAAGAGCGAAAAAAGAGGGACTAGGGAGCATAGAGAAACTGATAGGTATATGTAACTCGATATATCGACACTGAAAAATATTGAATTACTATATCGATTATTGATAACTGATGTTAAACCTAATATCGAATGAAATCCTAAA